GTCACCGTGGCCTCGGGCAGACCTCCTCCACTGAAAAGGAAAAGAAGAGGCAAGGGAGGACCACAGCTGTACTGACCTTGAATGGTTGCCAGTGTACTGTTGCTCATCAGAGCCGGGCTGAGAGCACCGCCCAGGGTCCCTGGGTTAAGACTGAGTAAGGCACCTCTGCAAGTGAAAAGAGCAGACAGGTGATCAGTGTGGCATCACACCCAGAGGGGTAAGGACAGGACAGCTGGGAGCAGGCGGAAACACCTGAGACTTGTCCTCTCTGCTGTCTGACCGCGCTCCGAGTCTGCTTTCCTCGAAGTTCACTGTGCAACCCAAATAAGACTATAGCCCACAGGGTCCAACTCGCAGCCATTCCAGCATTCTCTACACTACCTCGTTCTCTTTTCTCAGAGCAAAAGAAAATGTCAGAAAAATAAATATATTTATAGAGTAGTTCCTACATGGACGAGACAAAAGTGAGACTCTTAATGCTACACCCCGAGCATATTTAAGGATCAGAAAGCAGTCTGCTGAGAGGTCAGCAGGGAACAAGAGTCAGGAGCTGTGGGCTCTCTCCCTGGCCCCACCCTCTAGACATGATCAGTGCCTGCTGCTCCTGTCTCACCTGGAAATAAAGGTATGACTACTGCCCTTCCAGGGTGTTCAGACACTAAATCCACAATAATCAAGGTCCTTGAGCCGCTATAGAGCAACCCACTTCAAAGACATTAGGCTTAAAGAGTTTTGTTTTGAATTTTGTGTTGAAGATGGTGATGGAAAGTCTCCCGTATGAGTAAGTCCCGGGATGACCTCCTTGTAGTCTCTCAGGTGGCAATAGATGAGAAAGCCCTTACCCAGCTGCAAACTGAGACGGTGCCATCAGGCCTGGGCTCAGTCCTGCAGCGGCAGCCATGGCTGCGAGACTGGCATTTGCCGGCAACTGCGCAGCTCCTTGGAGGGCGGCAGCTGCTGCCGTTTGCAGCCCTGACGCCGTCACCATCACCTGGCTGGTCCCAAGGGGAGAGGGCAGAGGAGTGGAGGTGGTCTGTGTTGTGCTGGTCTCACTGGCACTCGAGGCCTCAGAGGTGGAGGCTGAGGCAGAAGGGGAGGGACTCAGAGAGGGGGAAGTGACTGCCGAGGAAGCCGGAGGCGCGGTGGAAATCACGGTGGCAGTGTTGTTGGAGGTGGTATCTGTAGTGCCTGAAAAGAGGGGCAAGTTAGGGAGGGAGATCCTCAGAGTCGTCTGGGGGTATGGCGCATTGTTCAGCCACACTCCAGAATCAACTGACTAATGAACTTACCAGCCATACCTCTACATGGGTCCTTTTTATTAACCTAGTTAGTGTTTCTACAGAAATGAACCACAAAAACAAACATTTTAAGGCCTAAGCTTAGAAAATAATGAACTACAGGATGTTGGACTGGAACTGGAGATCTCAGTATGAACGCATGATTTTTAACATATGGACAGTGAAGGGAAATGGAGGCAGGTATGTGTGGATGAGCATGTGGATGTACAAACGTGTGTCTTACACACATACCAATGTAAGTGTGGGTACACTTGTTTCTGCTGAGATACCCTAGAAGTAACAACACGCATCAGTGAGTGTATCTGATGCCTACACTTTGGTTCCGAGGTACCTTTCCTCACTCAAAGGAACTTGGAATCCTTGGAGAAATAGCTGATTCCAGATCTGGGCCAGAGACGTGAAGATGAGCCTGAACATCTTGTGCCAAAAAATAAGGAACCACTCAAAGAATCACAGGGACATGTTAGAGGGTGCAGGAGCCAGCTGAAGGGACTCCCACTGGCTAAACCTGAGACAATTTTAACCCTGAAATAAAGAGTGATGCAATTTTAACCTGCTGCGTACAAAATAATGTGAGTCCATACTGACAGAGACAGATAGGGAAAAGGGAAAGTTCATCCTTACACTTAATAACTATGTAAAAACATCTATTCACTCTTCACATCATGGTTAGGTCACAAAGCCAAAGAAGTGATATGAAGTAAAACTCAAGTGGAGAAAATGAATTTCCCCACCTATGGGTTAAATCCAAGCTGTACCTCGAACCACCAGAAACCCACCCAGTGACTCCCTACACACCATCAACCCAGTGAATGACCACAGAACACCCCATACATTGTGTGTCACTAAAAACTTCTGATGACAGTGCTCAGTTCACTTTAAATGTATTTGAGAAAACTGCTATTCAAAGAAGGGCACAGTGGAAAAATTTAATCATTTTATAGTGAATGTGTCAGGCATTAACTGAGACATACAGATTTTAAAAAAACAAAAAAACCCCAGACCTTTTGAAAAGTGCCAAGTTTACTGGCCAAGAGGTAATAAATTATAAAAATATAATCATTTATGACCCAGGCAGGGGGAAATAAACAGTTTCCTACGGGAGCTAAACACTCTTTTTAGGAGGAATGGACACCTGAGCTGGAGCAGTGCCACCCCCATCAGAGTTGTGTAGGTGGCTGGTCAGCACCTGAGGCTATGTGTGTTCACAAAGGCCTGACAGCCTCTGAGGGCCAAGGACGGGTGGACGGAGACCAGTGGAGACAAGGGCCACACTGAAAAGCGCCTTCTACGAATCGAAGGGAAAACTGATGTTGTCTTGACGCAAAAAGCTGTAGCTAGTCAAGGTTTTTATAAGAGAAGTCACTTGAAAAAAAGTAGGTGTTTAGAGAGAGAAATCTGGGAGTAATGGAAAAGACAGGCTAAGGTGAGAAAGAACAAAAAAGATGAAATCTTTATGTAAAACTATTATTTCTGACAAAATTAATTGTGCCTAATTTTTTTGGAGGTAGGGTTCTCACATATAACTTTTAAAAAAGCAATACCTCATTAGAGCTGTAATTCACAATTTAATGGCAGATTCTCACAGAAACTCTCATGGCTACCATCTGCCTACAGCTGCACAGCCTCGCTGCCACATACCTGTACCAGAGACATGGTTACCTGTAACAGAGAGGTTGGTTACTGCAGCGCTGGTCAGAGGGAGGACGGGGTTGACAGTGAGGGTAGTTGCTGCACTGCTGGTCACAAGGCTTGGTGTGGTTGCCACCTAGAGGTCAGAAATGAAAATATGCAAAAGCATTTAAAAATCAAAACTTAAAAATTTAAGTCCATATTGTAGACTTATTTTGCCTATAAAAATTTTAAATTCCAGGATAGAGCTTAAGTATTATAGAATAGCACGGCCGGGCATGGCTCAGCAGTTGAGTGTCAACGTAGGATCCAGACAATCGGGGTTCGATTCCCGGGTTGCAGGCTCGATCCCCAGTTGGGGGCGTGCAAGAGGCAGCCAATCAGTGACTCTTTCATCATTGATGTTTCTATCTCTCTCCCTCTCCTTTCCTCTCTCTGAAGTCAATAAATATATATTTTAAAAATAAATAAATGTTATAGAATAAAAATAAAGTAAAAGGGCCTAAGAGGAGACTTTACAGTGACTTGGATCTTGGAATTGAGAAACAGGCATAGGTTGAAAGGTTGCTATTAGAAGACAGTTTTTTACTGACATGACATATGGCTATGCCCAGGTTTTAAAAAGAAATAATTTAAAAATCTCTCAATCTCAATAAAGTTGAGTCAGATGCAATATAAGTCAGTAAGAAATATACTAATTGTCACCTTAACCTAAACAAGGAAACTATTCAACAGGATCAGTGAATCCTGGCTTCTTGTATTGTTTTATTTTTGACTCTGTGGGGGCAAGATTGCCTTGATTTTATTCTTAATGAAATGTTATTATGGAAAGAATGTGAAACAAATTTTTTAAAGACTGACAATTTCTCTTTGAAACAACAAAATATTTCTACAGTTTTGTAAGAAATACTGTCTTCTTCTTAGTACAAATAAATCCAAACACAAGTAAACAGTCAACTGCACAGAATGAAGCTGTGTCTACCAACTCCTCCCCTAACTGCCATCTCGGGACCTTTGTGATTGAAGCCTCCTCCCCACCCCGCCCCCCAGGCACCCACAGCCTGCACCCAAACCACTGTGTGCTCTTACTGCTGACTTTAACTTGAAAAGCTTCCCAATACAGAATGATATGCAGATAAAATAAAAACAAATTAACAAGAAGGGATCAGAAATGCACACTCAAAACCTTCCCATTTCTGGGATCCTGGTTAGACATGTGGAGTCATATTTACAATCACCCTAAAGGTCAAAGGTGTCCCATGGGCACTCTGTGTCCCTTCAGTCTAGGAAGATGACTCTAATGCAAACAGGGAGGTAAATGCAAGGCTACGTGTCCAAGAGAAAAGACCCCAAGTGAACGCTGTAAAACAAGTTCAGAGCTCCTGAACAGAGGCGCCTGGGAACTGACCATCAGCATAGAAGTTTAATAAATTGGGCTCCAGAACTCAACATGAATAAAAAGCAGTGAGTGATTTTTTTAGATAACTAGAACCACAGCAAATTTACTCCCACAATTAGAGTAACCTAAAAACTATATCAGAGAAGCGAGTAACAGAGATGCCGTAAAATGGGAAAGAACTAAATTGTTCCTTGAAACAGGACAGACCCAAGACTAGCTTAACAACGTGAGATTTAATTACGTCGGCAACATTTAAAATATAAACTGCATGCATTTATTCAACATGGACATATACACACAATAAATTCTGTTATGAAACACGACTGGAGGCGGCGCCACCGTGGCCGTAAGCGGGCCCTTACCAGCGAGGCGCTGGGGAAGACGGCCTTGATGGGTGAGCCGCCGGCGCCCCCGCTGCTGGGTGGGTTGATCCTTTTCTCCTTCTGGCGGCGGTTACAGAACCAGACGCGGATCACCTCCTTCTCCATGTTGAGCTGCTCAGCAATCATGGTGATCTCTTCCGAGGTAGGCTTTTGATTCTGAAGGGGAAATCATCCTGTGGAATAGCCTTCGGAACCACTGGCCCGTGTCATTATACAGTATAAATACACAGAAGGGAGGGGCAGGCCAGGGAGTGAAGTGGGGACGCAGATGACCAACAGGCCACCTTAACAAAACGTCTATAAACAGACATTCCAATGAACATATGTCTATAAAATTTACTCCGATTAACTTCGAGTAAGTTATTCTTGAATGTTTGCATTCTGTTGTTGTTTTAAGGGCTATTAATCTTAAAAAAACTTAACAATCAAGAGAGATTCCAGGATGGTGGCAGATTGAGTGGAAGCTACACTGACACTCTCCTAAGACCAAACTGGAATTACAACTTAAATACAGAAAAACCGTCCTGAATAATCAACTACAACTGAAGACGAGCTGGAGAGCACCCTCATAGCCAAGGTGGAAAAGTGGAGACCACATAGAGACTGGTAGGAAGTATGGAGGCACAGGAGGGCCGGCTGGGCTCCCACAGGCAGCAGCTGAAGGTCCAGAGGGAGATCTCAGCTGAGGGGGGTTCCCACTGAAGACTCTGGNGGTCCAGAGGGAGATCTCAGCTGATGGGGGTTCCCACTGAAGACTCTGGAGTCTAAATCCCAAGCTGGGCTTCCCAGACCAGAGCACCAGAACGGAGAAAGGTGCCCAATAACCTCTGGCTGTGAAGAGCAGCAANGAGGCTCATTAAGAGACTGAATAACAATCAGCCTCTGGGTGCTTTGAGTCGTTGCCTGATTGGCTTCTGGAACCAGGGATTGGAAAAGCAGACCTCGGTGAGCCTCTTGGTCCTGTCCAAACACACCCAACCACAGCAGAGGGAACCACAAGCTGTGGAGTACAGAGAACTTNATGTGCAGCCACTCACCTTGGGCTCCGGAGGAGGGAGGGCAGAGTGGACTGGAGCTGTGTGAGGAGAACCTAGGTGTGCTGGATAGGGGGACAGAACTCAAAGGGCAGCTACCTAAATTCCTGTGCAGAGTTATTCCCCCATACAACAGCGNAACCACAAGCTGTGGAGTACAGAGAACTTCAAACAGGGTACTCAAGGCCAGTCACATACAGCATCTGACATTGGCCTGCACCAGACTATAGAAAAGACTGGAAGTGGGAGTCCCAGCAGATCTACCTAATACATAGAAACAAATCCAAACAAGCAGCCACAATGGGGAGACTAAAAAATCAAGCCCCAAATGAAAGAACAAGAGAATTCTCCAGAAGAAGAGCTAAATGAAATGGAGATAAGCAATCTATCAGATATAGAGTTCAGGATACTGATCATAAGGATTCTCAACAGCATGAGAAAATAAACGAAAACTATGAAGGAAATGAAGAATGACATAGCAGAAATAAAGAATACACTGGAAGGAATAAGCAGCAGATTAGTGGAAGCTGAGGATCAGATCAGTGAATTAGAAGACCGAGGAGGGAAAAAAAATCAATCAATCAGAGATCCAAAAGAAATAAACAATTAAAAACAGGAGGACAGTCTAAGGGAGCTGTGGGACAACATGAAACATAACAATATTGCATGATAGGCATGTCAGAAGAGGTCAAAAGTAAGCAAGGGTTAGAGAATCTGTTTGAAGAAATAATGGCAGAAAACTTCCCTAACATGGTGAAGGAAAAAGTCATACAAGTTCAGGAGACACAGAGAGTCCCAAGCAAGAAGAACCCAAAGAGGCCCATGCCCAGACACCTCATAATTAAAATGCCAAAAATTCAAGACACAGAGAGAATCTTAAAGGCAGCAAGAGAAAAGCAATCTGTTACCTACAAAGGAGCTCCCATAAGGCTGTCAGCTGACTTCTCATCAGAAACTCCACAGGCCAGAAGGGAATGGCATGAAGTATTCAAGGTAATGCAAAACAAGGATCTGAAACCAAGACGACTCTATCCAGCAAGGCTATCATTCAACATAGATGGTGAAATAAAGAGCTTTCCAGACAAAAAAGGGCTAAAGAAGTTTATCACCACCAAACCAGCATTGCAAGAAATGTTAAAGGGACTGCTGTAATTAGAAGTTGAAATAGAATGAGAAACATAGGCATAAAAAAATAAAATGGCAATAAATATCTATCAATAATAAACTTAAATATAAATGGATTAAATGCTCCAATCAAAAAACATAGGGTAGCTGAATGAATAAGAAAACAAGACCTAAATATATGCTGTCTACAAGAGACCCACCTCAGAACAAAAGGCTCACACAGGCTGAAAAAAAAAACACCTTCTGGAGGACTTTAAGGGAGAGATTGACAGCAATATAGTCAGAGTAGAGGACTTCAACACTCCACTGACTTTGCTGGATAGATCTTCCAGACAAAAAATCAACAAGGAAACAGTGATTCTAAATGACACACTAGACCAGATGGATTTGACATTTACAAAACATTTCACCCCAAAGTTGCAGAATATGCATTCTCAAGTGCACATGGGACATTCTCAAAGACAGACCACATGTTAGGACACAAAACAAGTCTCTATAAGTTCAAGAAGATTGAAGTCATATCAAACATCTTCTCAGGCATTTATACCATGGAATACTATGCAGCTGTAAAAAAGAAGGATCCCTTACCCTTTGAGACAGCGTGGTGGGTATTATGCTAAGCGAAATAAGCCAGTCAGAGAAAGACAAGTATCACATGATCTTCCTCATACGTGGAATTAACGAACAAAATCAACCGATGAACAAAATGGATCTAGAGATGTAGAAGCATGGAACAGACTGAGGAATCTCAGAGGGAAGACAGGGGTGGGTGGGGAGATTAACCTAAGAATTAATATGCATATATGCATAACCCATGGACACAGACAATAATGTGGTGAAGGCTTGGGGGGAGGGGTAAAAGAGGGGAGGAGATCAATGGGGGGGGAAGGGAGACAGTTGTAATATTTTCAACAATAAAAATAAAAAGTAATAAACAATCAACACCTTATATATTAGTAGGAATCTGAGAGTTTTCTCAGTGCTTACTGCACATGACCGCAGCTGGAACATGTGAGGCAGACAGTAAGCCTGCAAGATAGGAGGTACTTCCCAGATACAGGGACTTCAGCCTAAGGACTCAGTGACTGACCAAGGACAAAGGTCCTAAAGTGGCAGGTGCTACAGACTCCTGACTCAGTACTCCTTCCACTGTGCTGAAGCCTCTATGAATCAGAGTCAGAATTCTGTTGGAAGCTTTGATTGGGATAGTCCCTGGTACAAAAAAAAACAAAGAAAGAAAGAAAGCCAAGAATCTGTTGAATTAACTTGAGCTCCATAGCCTGACATTCAAGGCCCTCAACATTCTGGCCCCAAACTGCTGTTCTAAGCACAGACACTGCAACTCAGCCAAAGGGAACCACCTGTATTTGCGCTGACACACCTCAGGTTCTCCCTGGATGTCTTTGCTCTCCATCCTCTGCCCTTCCCTGTCTGTGGAGTTCCTGTGTCCTACGGCAGCTGCCGCCTGTCCCACAGAGCTCCCTCCTGAGCCCCGGGCACACTCGCTCTGTCTGTGTTGTCTTATTTTCTCCACAATGGTATAAGCATCCAAAAGGGCCGTGACTGACAGCGCCTAATGTTAGTACCACACAATCCCATGTCCATGAAAAGTAAAATCCCCACTGACCTCCAAGAAACTCTTCTCTAAGGCCACGCGGATGTTGGTCTCTATGCTGGTGCGTTTCTTTCTCCTGCGGTTCAAGCCCTCGATTCCCTGCCCTGGAGAATTCAGGGCACTTGGGCTGGAGAGAGCCGAATCTGACGAGAGGTTCTCTATAAGAAAAGAGAAAACAGGAGGTCAAAGGGTCTGAGAGTGCTTCACACACATAACACACATATTAACAACAAAGCTGACTAAGGTACTTGAAGCTGCAAGCACATGAAAAGGTTCCATAACCTACATGAAAACAGCTCCCACCACGCTCTATTGCTCTAGCTGGCATGTCTGAAAACACAGACTGCTTGTCCTCCTGCCCTCCGACTTTTTTTTTTTTTTAATATGTCTTTATTGATTTCAGGGAGGAAGGGAGAGGGTGAGAGAGAGAGAGAAACATCAATGATGAGAGAGTCATTGATCAGCTGCCTCCTGAATGCCTCCCACTAGGGATCGAGCCCCCAACCCAGGCATGTGCCCTGACCGGGAATTGAACCTCGGTCTCCTGGATCATAAGTCAACACTCAACCTCTGAGCCACGCCAGCCGGGCCAACTTCTGTCTCTTGAGAAAGCACAGGTTTTCTCTTTCTGTCCTGAGACTCAACTCTACCTCTCCTGAGTTACGTTCTTATGTTTTGGTTTCTTATTAGCTCTAGGATAAAAGGCTTGTTAGAAATTACTGAATATTTAATATTTACCTTGCAAATGACCTCTCATTTTATTAGTATAATTTATGGCAACACTTCCCCCCAAACCAAACAAACAATGAAACACTTCTAAATTCTTGGAAGTTGAAACAAGCAAGGTTCCGTCATTGTAGTTTAATGACCCCGGGCATCTCGGAGCCAGCTCTGGGTTTCTTTCCATTCCATGTATATGGAAGGAAGGGCAGAGCAGTGGTTCTCACTTGTGGAGCTCAGAAAGGCTACAGGGCCACGGAATCAGACTGTCCAAGGGTCAGAGTTACAGGTCTGTCTTTTCCAGAGACCTGGTTTTGCTTCCATCTAAATGAGAGCCACCATCTCGGGGATCTGCATGTTCCTTATACCTCTCACAGTCTGTGGTTCTGTGACTCAAACTCCAAATTTCCCAAAAGGAAATCTCAGCACAAAACACACAAGTTAAAACTGGCCGCTCAACTTCTTATGTATGAACTATGTAACAAAAGCAGAAATATCATCAAGGACAAATTTATTATAATTCATCAAGGAAGAACCAATAAACTTGTTTTTCAAGTTTATCTAAATACATAGGCCTTCTTTCCTCTTCCTTCAACTGCCCCTAAACCTGGCTGCAATACAAGAAATATTCCAAAGCTAAAAATTGTTGTTGACTGTGTGCACTCCAATTACTACTTAAATGAATTAGCTCCCCGATTTAAGAAGCCATAACTTATACGGATCCTCCCAAGACTGGTGCACTTCAAGATTTTGTAGTGCCAATAATGCAGTAAGAAATATAAACCCCACTCCATGCAACAGCCCCCTGTAAGACTCCCACAGACAATGAGGCCATTTCTCACCCACCTGCATCATTGAGCCACTTCTCCAAAAGTGGCTTTAACTTGCACATGTTCTTAAAGCTGAGGTTCAAGGCTTCAAAGCGAGAGATGGTAGTTTGGCTGAAGTCATTTCCATACAGTTTACCCATTGCGAGCCCAACATCGCCCTGCACAGAAATACAGAGCAGGAGGGGGGAGGGCAAGAGAGAGAGAGAGAGTCATCCCACAGAAACAACCATCCGTAAGCTGGGCTCAGTGTTTCAGTGAGGAAGTTAGGCCCGACCCTAACAATACTGACTGTTCCATATTCTCTCCATTTTGAATTTCTTCTTGCCACCTTAATAATCAAGATTATCAAAAGATGGTGCTACTACTCTAAACCAGCCCCTTAATTCATATAACCAAAGTGATTTAAATAATCTTTGAAACTCAGTTTACCTGTCTCATCTACAGGGTTAACACATGCTACTGCCTAGATGACCTCAGGTATTTCTCAACTAACCAACTTCCCATAATCACCTTAAAATCTAGAAATGATGCCTCGTTCTTTTTGTCCTGTAAGGTATTTCTGGAAGCACTGAAAAAACCTATTTTCCACCTTAGTTTGGATTTTAAAGTTGGTTACAAAAAACAGGTATTCTAAAAGGCTACCTTTATAACTATTATAGAGAGAGAAATTCACAGTGGAGAGGTTTGACCCATTTAGTCAAACCTCGTGGGCACTGAAACTTGGTACCTTACAGCCATAGAACAATGACCTCACAACAAACACCTCACAGACATCTTTCTTGCAAGCCTGTACCTCTCAGTATACACAGTGCTCTCCTTCCAGCCGAATCGCTCTGTTCAAGCTGGGAAAAGCCACGTTGTCAGAGTTATTTTTTATACGGGTAAGGGAGCTCCGAGAGTTTGAATGATTCACCCTCTTGTTTCCACTAGTTTAGTGACAAGGCAGAAAGACATTTCTGGGAAGTACTGCAGATCTCATTCTACCGTGGGACCCTAGGGACAGCCCAGGCCCAGCTCCTGGCAACACTTACTGTGAACGCGGACTGTCCCAGTCCTCTGGATGCCCTACAATCCATCTTTTGGACACTACACTGTTTATTCGCACCTGCGTTAGGTAGTAGTTGGGGAAAGGAAAGGATATTTTTAAATTTCACTTTCTTATGGTAAGCAACTTCTGATACAAAGTTTAACAGAGGAGAAACACTGGAACTGAAAGATGAAATGAGGCATTGAGAACACCAGATCTTCAACTAATCTGTGACCTCAGCCTTCCCACAGGAGAGCCGCCAGGTGTGGCTATTAATTCAAATCAAGTAAATCAAAACTCTAGTTCCTCAGCTCCACCAGCCACCTTGTTGCTCAGCAGCCAGTCACACATGGATACTGGCTGTCCTCCCTGAGGGCACAAATACACTGAAACTGTCACTGATGTCTCTGGACATACATCTCCAGAACAGAAGTGACTGCTTACTGATTTCTGTCCAGTTACAGCAAAACTGAAAGAACTAGGATGGTGCGTGGGCACAAATGCTAAATCGGATGCCTATCTGGGTTGACATCTCTGTAATATTTAGTCAATCACAAATATTCACTAAGTGCCCACTCTACGTAAAACACTACACTAGGCTTGTGTGTAGCACATATGCATGTCTTGGTCACTTTATCTGTTTAGATTACAGCCTTCTAGAGAACTGGGGCCAACCCAACCTTGCAATTCTTTGCCTATCGGGCCTGCTGTAGCAGTTAAGATGGCAATAAATGTTTCTGACATTGTAAATGCATACTTCACTAGGAATTTTTTCACAAACTTCTATAATATCTATGAAATGTAACAATATTGACAAATAAACAAAAACTAAAATACCTATTCAAAAATCCCATCATAATAAGAATAAATACCACCTTAACCTGGTGGCTATGCCATCAGCTAAGTAAAACTATGGCAATAAATGACAAATGTACTTAATTGAGATTTATAACACAGTCTTACTTCATGTTTAAATGATATGACTGAATAAAAAGCAACAGGTCCTCCCTTAGTTAATATACTAATTTTCATTAATTTAATGTAAGTGTGGCTTAGTGATTTTGTAACTCACACCCACTGGCCTCCTCCCTCACAGCAGTAAATGTTTGAAGCATTTGACTTGTACATAATCTGAACTATATTATATCCCTTTGATATTTTTTCTAAAAGCAAAAGGAAAAAGGAACAAAGATTGGGATTAGGAAACAATGAACGTGTCACATGTGAGGAAAGTGTTAACACCATGGCCTCCTAATTATGTAATGACATCTACAGTAACCCTTTCATAACCAGTGACATACTCAGAAAACTAATAGCATGGAGATTTGCTCAGAGAATAGGGACTTTTCTGAATCAACTAATAACTTGAGTGCTGTGTATATAAATAAACTGGATACAAAGCAGCCTTTGAATAACTGCAACTGAGATACATGACTTAAACACAAAGGCTGTTTCCCCTCCTGCACCAATAACGTGCTTCAATCCATGTAGTCAGGTCTGTGAAATGCAGCCACTGCTATGTCAGAGTCATTCTGAAAAATCAGGAACAGTTGTGCCAAATAATAAGCTAAAACCATAAAGCACAACACCAGACCACAGGGAAGCTCTTTAATATAAAAGACACACACACACGCGCACACACAGGCAATATGTTGGGTCAAATGCCACAGAAAGGCAAACCACTATCTGGGTAAAAGTTAAAGATTTTTAAAAGCCTTAACATCCTTGGCATATCACTTAGGCAACAGTCTCCTAGGGAACCTAAGGGTATGCTGTGCTAACCGCTTAAAGCTGAAGCACTGAGGACTAGGCCAACCTGACACTTATTTAAGCTCATTAACGTGCTCCGCTCAATCTAGCTGCACCTTGTGCTTTCTTTTTAAGAACAGCCAGATCGTTAGATGTTTCAATCTTTCTTAATTGTAACTTGTTTCCTCACAACTGAAAATCCTCACAAATACATAACTGCATTATCTCTAACATCATAGTTATTTAAAAAATCATTTTATGTTCCTAATATATAATTTGCTTTTTGAGCAAAAATAAACTACCAAAGAAATAAAAGGACTACAAGTCTGTCCATAAAAACCTCAGAGCACATGCAGGGGCATCCCCTGGTGTCAGAGCTGCCTGAGCAGGTGGTGCATTACTGTGCTTCCAGCATAAGTCGACGGAGTGCTTCAGGGGCGGCTTAGATTTCAGACAGTAACCATGTTTTCTGGAAAGAAAATATCCAATCTACACCTCAGTCATTTTTTTTATCTAATGATCTTCTATCATTTTACATAAATGTCATTCAGTTTTGCCTTCTCCTGCTTCAGGAATGTCACTTGTGACGGGCTAAGCAAAGAGGAGTAAGTCAGTGGCTATATACGGAGATCCTATTTAAACCATCTTCTCTCTAAAAGTCTTGGTACATGACATTAAAAAAATTAATTTGGATTTTTTATCTTGGACAGATTCTTATTAGTTTTGGTTTGGGCTTCCTGCGTGTGTGTGTGTGTGTTTCTATGAGCACGTGACTCCACCCGCCCTCTCTCCCCAAAACTATTTCAAATAAGTTTCAAACTGCCCCCTTTCAGCTACTGTGAGAGACCTTGCAATCTTGGCTCTCTCTACCTCACATACGTAGCACTAAGGTCTAGAACCAGATGTTCTTCAACTTACAAAACCCTCAGTATAGTCATATCATCCCCTAACATAATCTTTTAATTCCTCACCACTATTGGTATAATTATAATTTCAGAGACCTAACAAAATCCTAAGTTTATAACCAAATCTATACAATGGTCTAATCTTCTAAATGCAGGAAAACTAACAGACACATAAAGCAAGCCGAGGAGGGAAATCCAAGTTCCGGGTGGGCTCGTCTACCTGAGTGAATCCAAGTTTGATTCGTCTTTGTTTGAAAGTCTTGGCAAACTGTTCAAGCTCCTCAAGGTCACTGGGCTCCTCCAAGCTGGGAGTGTCGATTCGCTTTGGTGTTGCCTGGTTCTGTGGAAGTGTCTGAATTGGGGTTGCTGCTATTGTGCGTGTTGGGGTTGCTGGCTGTTAGAGGAGAAGGAGAAGAACAGACACACAAAAGGTGTTTAGGTTGCAACTGGACTGTGCAGCAAGTAAACCACCTACGGACACAGCTATATTGGTGGAGGACTGAAGACCCTGTATCACGCAATGTTCATCGAGAAGAGCGGAGTGTGAAATCATGTACATATAATCACAGGGAAGGTTAAAATGTAAGTATATGAAAAGAAGTTGACTACCTAAAAATGAAACCCAGTATATTCAGGTTTTCAAATGGTCTGAATACATGTATTTTATGCCTTTTAATAGATCAGTCTTCATTTTTTAGAATCTATTTCATAAACATACCACTTAAACTACAAGTTTCAAAACAGCAGGGACTATATCTATCTTGTTCATCACTATCTTATCTCCAACTTGTGACATAATATTATAAAAATATTATTATAAGATTATTAGAAATATCTTAAGGGGGAAAGTAAGCCACCGACAGTTTAACTAACTTACTGCAATAGCATCCTCTGTGTGCACCTGTTCACATTTTCCTCAGCAGACCGACATCTTTTCCTGTTACCCTGTTTTTAATTTGTTGCACTCAGTTTGTATCATCTGTAAATGTTTCCCACAAAGTAGGAGTACTTTTCAAATTTTCAATGACAAGGCAAGTACTCCACTGATTGGAGTAATTTTATAATACGATTTAGACATCGGAAGGGACCACAAGGCACAAAATCAAAGCAGCAGAGTGCTGTTTTAATTGAGGTGTGACTGACATACAGCACAGCTACACATATCTAACTTACCTACCACCTTCAGGTTTACTCCTTCCCTCAGATCTACATTTTTTATTTTTTTATTGACTTTATTGGGGTGACACTGGTTAATAAGATTATATAGGTTTCACCCTGGCCAGGTGGCTTAGTTGGTTGGAGCATCATCCCTGTTCACCAAAAGGTTGCAGGTTCCATCCCCGGTAGAGGCACGTACGTGAGGCAACCACTGATATTTCTCTCTCTCTCCCTCCCTCGCTTGCTCTCAAAAATCAATAAGCATACCCTCAGGTGAGGACAAAAAAATTATATAGGTTTCAAGTGTACAATCCTATGGATCTATGTTGTTTTTTGTTGTTTATTTTTGTTAATCTGTACCGCAGGATATTTTTTTCTGTTGATTTTTTAGAGAGAGTGGAAGGGGGAGAGAGAGAAAGAGAAACATCAATGTGAAAGAGACACAGATTGGTTGCCTCCTGCACGTGCCCCTTGACCGGACCTGAATCCTCAACCCTTCAGTCTGCAGGCTGACGCTCTAACCACTGAGCTACCAGGTAGTGCAATGTTTTTAATCTTAACTGTAATTAAAGTACACATAATTTTACACTCTGCTTTTCCCACTTAACATCATGTTTTAACTTTTATCCCTATGGTTTTTCAGTCTCCCTATTATCATTTTCAAAGGCTGACCAAGGCAATATGATCATAATTTAACAATTTCTTCATTGCCAGACCCTTATTTGTTTTCACTAACACAGGCAACACCACAATGAACAGCTCTGTGCATGCAGTTCTTTTTCCACCTCTGGAATTAGTTCTTTGAGATAAACTTATGAAGCCTTTTCTGTAACAGGATAAAAGGCAGGCAAAGACAATGTCACTGCCTCTGATCCATAGCAGCATGTCAGTTCTTACCATCCAACCTCTTCCCATGATCTGTTAGCAGTTTTCAAAATGCTTTACTAATTCAGGAAATAAATGGTACTTCACTGTTGTCCTAACTCTCTTTCTCTCATTATACCAAGTCAGCGTTTCCCACTGTGAATTATCTGTCTCCTGTGCTGTGAATTGCTGTGCATCTGAGCCCCTTTCTGTGCAGTACTAGTGGGGTCCTCATCCGAAAGGCTCCTCCAGTGTCACCGGTTAATTCTATTGTATGGATGCAAATTTCTCCTATCTGCTTTCTTCCTTTTATTTTTCAATATAACTAAGTTTTAAATTATCAAAGGAAAGAAAAAAAGGTGAACTTCTTTCCTTTCTAATATCATTTGTTGCTTCAAATCTGAAAAAACTTTCACATTATCTCTAACTTGGACAAAATTTATTTTAATATACTGGTAAGCTTCTTCTATGCATTTTAAAATGTTTAATTACTGAAATCCATCTAAAGTTTATTTGGAGACATGAGAGTATAATCTTTTTTGTAGAAGAAAGTATAAAATATTCTTATTATGGAAACACACGCCCTAAGGAGGCACCCTTCTGAGTATCACTAGTGAAAGGTGCTGCCCGACTGCATCGCCATTGCTCAGCTGATCCTTCCTGTGACTAGTCGCCCAGGTGAGAGATCATAGCCCAGGATTACACACCACGTCTGTGGCTGGGAGTTTTCCTCCTGTAGCTGAAATGGGTCACATACCCCTTGCTTGGACCTCATTAGTAACATGCTCTGTCCAACTGAACTAGCCCAGAAAATTACACAATAGGACTCCGCAGGCCTGCAGAAGGTGAGTACCTCTCGATTACCCTGCTTCAGTGAGGACAAGAGTGCTCATCTCTGATGCGGTGACACTAGTAATTTTTAACCTGGCCATTGGGGAGGAGCCCAAAACAGCACCAACCTCACCAGACATCTACATGGCTGCACACTTCCCAGTCTCAACTGTCAGACTGTTACTCCATCTCCAGGCTAGAAGTAGCTCTGCTCTCAAATAATAAAGACTAAGAATTGCTTGGGTCTCCTTAGGAGGGGTGGTTATTTTTATACTCAGCATACTGACAATAAAATGCACTGTTTAAATGTGCAGTCTGAAGTGTTTTGACAACCATGAACTGTTGCCACAAGTGAGATTCGGGATATTTCCACACCACAAAGTTCCCGCGCCCTCTGTGCTGTCCGCCCACGCCCAGCCCTGGCAACTGCTCACAGGGTCTGTCATACAAACGGAAGCATCCAGCAGGCGTCTTTCACGTCTGGCTTCCTGCACTTATTTAGTGCTGTTGAAAGTCATATGTGGTGCTGACTGCGTCAGAGCACACTGCTTGCTACAGCTGAGTAACACCCACCACGTGGCTATGCCAAGGATACACTATCTATTCACCAGCTGATGGACATCTCGGTTGTTTCCAGTCTGGAGTAACTGAATAAAAGTGCTACGAACATTCATATACAGAGTTTGTGTGGAGACAAATGACTTGATAAGAAACTGCCAAGCCATTTCCCAAAGTGTCTGTGCCATTTGCAACCCCACTAGCTGTACGAAAGCTCTAGTTGCTTTACCTTCTCGCCACCCTGGGTACGGCCACAGTCTTTTTAATCCTGCCCGTTCTGGTGGGTAGTCACATAAACATTCCCTTGTGACTAATGATTTGGAGCACCTTTTCATATGCTTCCTGGGCACTCACATACCTTCTCTAGTGAAGTATCTTCAAATATTTTGCATACCCTCCCTTCTTAAAACATCAGGTTATCTTATTACCAAGTTGTATATATACTGAATTCTTTATATAGTCTTGGAACAAGTCTTTTATCAGCTATAAGTTTTAACAATATTTTCTTCCAGCCTGTGGTTTTTATTTTTATTTTTTTAACAGAAGTTTTTACTTTTTACAAAATTTATCAATTTTTTTCTTTGATGGTTAGTGCTCTTTAGTCCCATTTATGAAATCATTACTGTACCCAAGAACACAAAGATTGTCGCTCAGTTTACCTCTAGAAGTTTACGTCTACAACCTACTTCAAATTCACCTTCGTACAGCATGAGAACCAAGATCAAGGTCTGTCTTCACTAAGCATGGCCAACGGTTCCAGCACCGCTTGTTGAGACTTTTCTCTTCCCACAGAAACCTCTGCACCCTCATGGACAATCAGTTGGCCACAGATGTGTGGGTCCACTGGACCTTCACTCTGTTCCATTTCTATCCACATGTCAGTATCACACAGTCCTCATTACTGTAGTTTATAATAATTCTTGACATCAAGTAGCCGTTCAACTTTCTTACTTTTCAAATTTGCCTGGCTAGTCTAGGTCCTCCACAGTTCCATATAAATGTTAGTTAGAAACGGCATGTGAATTTCTAAAAGAAAGCCGGCTGCGTAGTGATGGAATCAAGTGGAATCTATAGATCAATCTGGAGAGAACTCACATTTTAAAAAATCAAGCCTTCTGATTCATGAAAACATTAGGGCTCTCCATTAATTTAGGTCTTCTTTAATTTCATTCAGCAATATTTTGTAGTTTTCAATGTAAAGGTCTTACAAATGTTTGTTAAACTTATCCCTAGGTACTATAAATATTTTTTTCTTAATTTCAACTTCCAAATGATCATTGTGAGTACACAGATTTTTTTGTATATCAACTTTGTATCCTACATACTTGCTAAAATCACCTATTAATTCCAGCAGCTTTTTGTGGCTTCCTTAGGATTTTCTACATAGGCAATCATGCCATTTACCAATCAAGACAGTTTCATTTCATCTTTCTAATCTGTGTTCTTTATTTCTTTTTCTTGTCTTATTTGTACTGCTAGAGCCCTCAGTACAATGCTGAGCAGGAAGCAGTCATCTTTATGATGCTGGGTTTTTGGTAGATGCCTTTTACCAGGTTAAGAAAGTTACCTTCTATTCCTAGTTTGCAAGAGTTTTTATCATAAACAGATGTTGAATTTTTGTCAAATCTGGTAATGTGTGAAAACTTTTATAACTACAGACAGAGCCAGTGGTGGAATGGGCTCCCGGGTCAGCAGTTCAGAACGTCATCTAATTTACAGATGAGGAAATGACACACTCAGTCACTAGATAAGCTAGATAAGAAGGAGAACTGGTCTAATGCTCCCACCTCTCGGTGCCTAGACTGGTGCTTTTTTTTAGAGCTATACTCTGGTAGAAATGAGCTAACGCAACACCTGAAAGTTGAGAGGAGAGAAAACACAGGGGTAAGAGACTCTCTGCAGCTCCTGAGAAAGGGCCGAGGGCAACTCGGGTTCTCACTGAGGCACCAGGCCTCTAGTTCAAGTGGCAACCTCTAGTGCAGCGGTGGGGGAGAGAGGTCACACAGCTGGAACTCATCACTCACGTACCACTAACACTGTAATTCTTTATGAGCATACATGAAAAAGGGACTCCTTGAAGATTTTCAAGAACTATATCAATTTGGTAGTGTTGCTTTATCAAGTTGATAAGCCCAGCTTTGAATTTCTGGTCAGTTTTTGAATACTAGAATTATTTTAATTAGGATGGTGTGTGTGTGTGTGTGTGTAATTCAACAAAGTCCAAAAGTCCCTTAAAACAACAGGACAAGAGGAAGCACCCCCCATGGGAGAAAGCTGACCTGGGAGGTGAGGGTGATGCTTGGCTGCGACTGTAGGAGGTTGGCTTGGCTTTGCTGAGGTAGTTGCGTTAAAAGATTTTGCGCTTGCAGGAGACCTGTTAAAACACAACACATTAAGCCAGGAACATCAGGACTACTTTGAACACATGGTGAAAAAGTATAAGACAGTGAAGTGAAAATTTCCAACTGAACCCCTGGTACTCTTATTGGTCTTAAAACTCTTAATGTCTTATTTGCCTAAAGTTCAATATTGCTAGTATGACTTAGGCAAGAAGATATGAAGCATGAAACTGAGAGTGACGTGTCTTTAGTGTAGCCTGAATAACCCTCCGACTGGCCAATTCTTTACTCTAGGGTGAAATGGATGGAAGTGAAGAAACAGTCTAAACGGAAGCAGCTTGACATTCTGAAGAGCTCGATCTCACCCAGAATCCTCACAAACAACCAGAGAATTACCTAGGTCTTGAGGGCAGCAGACTATCCTTTAAGTGGAACAGGTATTTATACAACAAAGGTTCTGGGGGAAATGGTCAAGAAAAAAGGCTAAGAAACAGCAATGATGAGGAACCGTAGAGAAGCAGTAGTGGGCTGAAGTCTTCCTGATACCTGACAGCCTCTGCACTGATTCGATTAACCAGCTTCACAAACATGATAAACTTTTATTATTGATACAATAAAAAGCAATGAAGATGGTTTTTATCACTCACAAACTGTGCACACCTTCTAATAAAACATCCTCTCCTTCTCAAACTTTAAAAGAAACCAAATGATTGTTAGAAGCATATACTTCAGTGCTCAACCCACGTTCTTTGAATACCCTCCCACAAAAAACTACCCAAAGCACCAGAAGCAATTTATCTAATTTATGTTCAGCACATCAAGGGAGTTCATTTAGACTTTTGGCGAAACTTTTGGTTCCTCACTGGTGATGAGAGATGAATGGCAGGGAAGGACAACCTTCAATATTATGGAATGCATGAAAAAATATTTTTCTTAACCTGAATATTGAGTTTAAAGGTCATTAAGATTTAATGAAAACATTGTTCTAATGTAAAGTTTCAGGGCTGCGTGCCCTGTAAGTGGACAGGCTATGAGTGGGGCTCACCCTGCTGGCCCTGGGGCGTCTGTGAGATGATGAACTGTGTTGGCTGCAGGTTGGTGGTCGGATGTACCAGCACAAACTGTTGCAGGTTGAGATTCTGCTGCTGAAGTTGCTGTAGTTGCTGCAGATCCTAAAACATTAGAATTAAAATGTGGTTGGAGACTGGGATAAAAGCTTGCTTAATTTTAAGGTTCTCAGATGAGGTGTTCTGTCCTAACCCAATAAGGCAGAGTCAACACTTTCCACTCACGCACGTGCAAATGGCGTGCTCTGTGTGCACCCACAAAACTGGAGAAGAAACTGCAGGACTGTTTTTGTTGGCAGATGTGGTGTCATGACTTACAATAAGCCTAATCTTCAATAGTTAGTTGACTGATGTTTCTCTGAAGTAAAAACTGAGAGTGCTATATGAATTTGCATAAACAAATTTAAAAATCTATAATGATTTATGAAATTTGGCATCAGCTTATTGAACTCAACTGAGAAATCACCGTAAAACATTTTTAAAAGTTATCCATATAAAAATCTGATTGACAACATATCAATATCACTTTACACTGGCCTAGGAATTATCATTTTCAATATGCTTTCACTTATCTTATTAAAATAATGTCAACGTAGGGTCTCCCATCTTAGGCACTAACAACATTTATTTGGTGATGAAGAAAGTGGTCAAAATAAAAACGTTATCTTGATAAAGATTGTATATAATAGTCATAAAGGTTAGTCTGACATCTATTCCTTACTCCTACAGTTGTTTCTTTTTACTGTCTAGTCAAACTCCAGCTCCCATTTAAGTCCATACCAAGGCCTCTCTGGGGGGAAGAACACAACTGTCCAGCACTAGACTCCTAACAACGCTTCACAGATTTCACTGCCGTGACTACTTACTCTCTCTTCCTGTCATTGAGACGAAGGATTTCATTTACCTTTCCTCCTTGGTTGTATTGGCTATGCCTCTTAAATACATTTTTACTATCTCTGGATACTTGGTCCCAAAATGTGAAAAACGAAACCAAACAACATCCTAACACAGTTCTGCCCAAAGCTCATCACACTGCAGCAGATGACTCGCTGACTCCCACATGGATGGCAACACTCACTGCAGGCACGAGACAGGACCCAGGCCTGCAGTAATTGGCTAATTAAAATACAGTAATCCCCTGCTTCAGAAATATGCCAGCTAATTATTCAAGAATTGTCACTTAATACAAATAGTCAGTTATTCAAATAATCACTTATGTGTTTATAATAACTCAAATAAGCAAACAAATGTATTACTTGTAGTTCAGTGGTAAGGAAGACTACCACTTACCTCACTGATCTAGGGCTCCTCAGCCTGTAAGGTCTCCACTAACAATCAGAAAGTGAATTTCCTATAAAAGAAAAGCTGCTGTTCTATTGCTCACGTCCTGCCCTGGCTCCGAGGCTGTTCCTCTCCCTGCCTTGGCTCCGAGACTGTTCCTCTCCCTGCCCCAGCTGTGAGAGATACTCACTCACCTGTGCAATCTGTATGGGCTGAGACAGGGGGATCTGCGTCATGGGCGTGGCGGCGGAGGCTGAGATGGTGGCCCCAGCAGCGTTGTGCTGTTGGCTGGCGGAATGCTGCTGCACCGCAGCGGCCAGCAGCTGTGCCTGTGCCTGTGCCTGCTGCAGGAGCAACTGTTGCTGGGCTGGCGTCAAAGTAAGCTAAACAAAATTAGGACAAACATTGGAAAGGATTGAAGGAGAAGGGCCCCTAATTCAAGCCAAATGCTCTGAAGTAGGTAACTCAAGTGGTATTAGACTTTAGCTACCAACTTCACATGCTCATTTAGCATGAGGCTAAAATGTTCATCAGGGATCAAGCCACCATTACTGGCAGAACATTTTAAAGAAAATGGTGGACCTCACTTTGGACTTAAATTGTTCAAGCTTGTCCAGGGCCCTAGGGTTCAAGCAAAAAAGTAATTAACTAGTTAGCAAGAAGTAAAAAAACACACACGAATCTAGGCTGACAGGCATGAAAAGAAATTTATACTCAACAGAAAAGCCAGTGATTAGTCATATGAATGAGAACCAAGGATGCTGGATCTGACCATGGGAAGGGCTGATAAGGCCTAGCTGCTCCCCATTAGCATGAATCCTGCCATACTCCATCATTTCCACTATGGCTGAAGATATGACTAAAGAATATGAGCTCCATTTGTTTCTTTTCCAGTCTCCCTACAGCCCCCCGCCCCCAAGAGTCTTTCTGTTATTGAAAGCAGTGGGTCTGTGCAACTTTACATCCCCTTTCCGACACGTTATCTCTGTGAAACAGGTGGTGACAGTCCCTCTCTCTACATGCAAATAATTCTTTATGCTCAGGTTTAATAGAAGCTCCAGCCACATTAACCTGGAATCCCAAGTGTCCCTTACTATTGTAGACACTCGTCACCCAAAGTAAAACTCAACTAGTAACATGGGAAATGTATTTAGAGCAGGCTTTAACTTGCTTTCACAATGCAACTTATTTCAAGCACACTTAAAACAGTGTGCTCTTCCTTCCTTTCGTTGATACTCTTCAAACAAGAAGGCGTGCCGTAATAAAATATTCTGAGGAGCAAGCATGGCCCTTAGTGGCATACCCCCCCCAAAGGGTCAGGAATGACCTGCCTGTGCCCTAGAGACGGAATCCAAATCAAGCGATTCAAAACTCAATTTCTTTCAAGGTATGTTTATAGAGGTTTCATACATATAGAAACGTGCATTTATCTCTACCAATGGGATTTTGTAAACAATTTTGCAATTCTTAAAAGAGCCTCCTACTGCCGAAACATACTTAACAGAGATGAAGGGTATAAAAAATTTTGTGAGTTGATGTGACATGAATTGATTAATAAATAACTCTTCTTTACCATTCCCCACCCAAAAAAAAGATAATTTAATAGAGAAATTTTCAGCATTGGGAAACTATTTTAAATGGTGTCTTACAGCAAAGGTAGCTAAAAAGTTAAAAGCTCAATATATTCACATAGGCCAAATTATTACCAATAAAAATAAATGACATTTATTGAATGCTATGTTCTAAGCACTGTTTTGTTTTACATGCATTATTGCCCTTAGTCTTTATCACAATACAGTGGCATGGGCATTATTTACATCTGCATTTAACAGAAGGAACACTGAGGCACAGGGAGATGGTGATTAGCCCAGGCAGTACACTGAGAGCCAGAATGCCAGACCAGAGGCTTCATTTTGGAACATTACACTGTAACTTTTCTTCTTTTGTAGGCACTATTCCGTTCTTTAACTTCTGCTCTGCAGTGATGTCATAACTCAAACTGTTACCTACTATTCATCAAGCAAGAGTCTCACCCACAGGACAATGACTCTACTGCATGACGAAGTAACAGTGGAAACGTGGGCTTAGAAACGCCCTGTTTATCCTGAGCATCTGCAATTGTAGAAAAGATACCCTGAAAACGTAAGAAAAGGTAATTCCCTTTTTGGAGCTGCCTCCAGTGTAGAGTTCCCTAAAGACTCAACAGTGCCAGGCCCAGCCACGTTACTGCTGCTGCAGCAGGGTTCTAATCAGAGAACAGCCGATGGCAGCATGACACACAAAGTCTACCACGATTCTCCAGGAAAACTTACCCCAGTTATCTGCCCTCCAGCCAGCATGAGCTGGGTCTGGGGGATGGCTGCCTGCACTGAAGGCTGCTGGGAAGGCTGGCTTGGCTGCTGGGAATCCCCCGATTCTTCATTAGATTTAGACTGAAGGTGGGAGGGGGGCAAAGAGAGTTCAAATCGTTCATTAAAAGAAATGTACTTATAACTCCATATTTCAAGAATTATTTAAAACATGAACTTATTCAGTCATGAGTTTTCTGGTTTTACTCTTTTCCTTTCTTACAAATCTTTGTATTTTCCTAATTTTACATATTAAGTTTTTAGATGTTTTTGTTCCAATGCCAACAAAGCTGCAATTATAATTTTTAAGAAGAAAAAATAATTCGATCCTCTACAAACCAATGGAATTCACCCAAACCCTCCCCTCTGGGGAGGAGTGACGGGGTAGCGCCTTTTCCACCCCTCTACATTACAGCCTCCAGCCCAAGTTCTGACATGTATTTGGTGGGCCGTCTGGACTTACTACCACTGCAGAGTGATTACCTGGCCCTCGGAACTCTTCCTCTGATATCTAAAGAACTGTCAATTTAGCACCGCCCATCAAGTTACACAGCAGCTTAGAGGGAAATGCTGCCCTCAGGAGGGAAAGAACTCAGTCCTAGAGGGGCTCTGAGAGAACATTTTATGTTAATTAACACTGGTTATGCAGAGCACTGAAATTCTGCATAGATTTGCATATTTCCTACCACCTGTTTTGGGGACTGCAGCAAGGCTAAATAACGTAGAGGCTCTGATTAATTCTGCCAGTCAGTGAGAGATAATTAGTGCAGGACTGTAAACACTCGGCACTGGAGATACGCCTGTTTGCCAACATCTCTCAGAGGGATGAAAGTTTACCATGGCAACCAGGGCAATTTGCCGCCTCCTCTCCCTCAGAAAGGGAGGTCACATCCCCTTTTCTTTTTCCTCCTTGTTTCCATGTTACTAGGTTCATATTCTGCACCAGGATTCATGGAATGCTCAACGCAAGGTCTTGAGTCATTAGCAACACTAAAATCAATCTTACAGAATACTGTGTCCCCTCTTGACTGTGTTATCTATCTAAATACTCTAACGAAAGGAAGCAGCAGGTCGACTGAATTATTAAGGAGTCATGCCTAATACTTGAACTTGGCAGGCCTTTGCCATATGGTTCGTAAAAGCAATACAGCCAGATTTAAGTTTTGTTTTAAATTTGTGACTGTCTGAAGCCCATCAATATCTATAAACAGGTTCCTTACAATCCTCAGAATCAGAACATTTTGGAGCAGAGAGGAGCCTTGTCAATCCTCTAACTTCCCCTCTCCGATGCAGATCAGAATACTCGAGCCCCAGAGGTTATGTGACTTGCCAGAGGTCACAGAGCCAGCTGGCACAGAATGAGACAAACCCAAGACCGGCTCGCAATTCTGGCTGGTTCCTCTGCACCAGAGTATATCCCTCAGACATGACAAAGACCTACAAAAGTCAGTTTGAAACAGAAGGCATTTAAGGTATTATTTGGCTTGGTATTTAGGGATGTGCCACAGCTGCATAACTTAGAAACATTTTTCCTAGACTTACACATAAAACTTTGAAAGCCAACTTTTCTTGATCACCTTTGGTCACTCACAGCAGCAGCACAGTATAAAATCTATCTTCATTAGTGGCAATGATAGTGATTATCACTATTTGGATCTTCACAAGAATCAGTAATACAAAAAAGGTACTACTCCTAAGTACTTCCTATTATAAAATTATTGCATGCTCATTACCCGCAATTGGAAAACGATGGGGAAAAATAGAAAAATTGCCCCACCAGCCCACGTGCCAGCTTACCTGTACATTTAAGGACTGAGCAGCAGCCTGTAAACTTGTTCCAGCGAGCTGGACCTGCAGGTAAGTCACCAGGGGCATTAGGCCTAACTGCTGCCACCATCATTAGTGCTGTCATCAATAAGGACTGCAAAGGCCTCTACCAGGCGTGCCACTGAGCTAGAACTGAGACTACAAGGACGTTTATCTTCTGAGGTTAAAACTGTGCGGACAAGCTCACAGTCCTCCACCTCCCACTAGAAAATGTTGCTCCCACTGCTTTCTGGAGGGTGTTCCCCACACTATTATAGCATCACCAGGTTGCTGCACTTGTGTCCGACATTCCTCATGTCATATTCTGCTTGTTTCATACACTCAGATCTAAAAACTTAACTCATCTTCCACACTGTGTTAAAGAACATGTAAGAACAAGCTACTTAGGTACATTATTGTTATCATAAACTATCAGAATTATCTGCTCACTCTAATTTCAAAATCTCCATGTATACACCAGAGTAAAAACCTTACATATATGCACACCACACTGTCAAGTCCTTATGATATGATAGTCCTAACTCCAAGCTCCTGGCTGGCTGAAGAACTTTGTCCTATGAAGCGCACATCGAAGACTGTCATACTATCTCACACTTGCACTTCATATATTCAGAAATTCAAACCACAGTTATATTAAAATAACCACTACCACTGGGACCATGAGAGGAATAACTAACTCAGGCAAACGTCATCAATGGAGGAATAACATGATATGGACACATTCTCAGCTGGGGGGTCAATAGCTATAGTTAACTAAACAGGATGTGGACTAGCCATTCAGAATGACACAATTAGATGTGATTAGCACCAGGCTTAATCAACTTAAAAAGCCCCACATCCTGAAAGACCTTCCCAGGCCGCAGCATCTATGCGTCCATCCTTCACTTGCTCATAATGGAGCAGAGCATTCTACCTGGTGGAGATGTCCAAAGAAAGCCTGGGCCTGGGCTGTTGAGATTGCTCCTCCAACAGGCACGGGCTGCTTCTGAAAGTCCAAACCATTCGTTTGTGTGCCTAGAAAGCAAGCAAAAGAACGTAACTATGACAAACACAAACTCAAATGAAATGAAGCACTAGACTTCAGTTACCAACATTTACCAGTCTCTGTCTTGTATAAGCGCTTTTCCAAGTCCCTCCGCGGAGGAGATGAGGGAGGAGGGGGAGGTGCACGAAATGACTTCTCTCCTAGAGGGGGCTGCAGGACAAGGGCCCATGCACATGGGGAGCTTAGGAAACAGCAACAAAAACACAGGTACTAATGACAATCTACGGGAGTGTTGGAGCAATCAGAAGTGGATGGGTGACTGGGAAATGGACCAGACAAGCACGAGACGTGAGTGCTTTAAGGACGAGATTATTGTCATCTCGTTGCTGTTGAGAATGGTGGAGACGGAGCTCCAGGGATGTGCTGGGGTTCTCCCTGGTCTCATCCTTCTCGGCATTTGGTTTCGACAGAAGAAATTCACTGGTGACTTTGACAAGAGCAAGACAGACTTACTATTAACTTAAAAGCATTAATAAATGGCAAAAGCAACCATTTACATGATAATCAATTTCTTCAATCCCAAAGTATAGCTTGAGTCCTATAACTAATTGGCAAGGGCTCTGTGATAACTATAATTTACAAATGGTATGCCAGTACTTTGACGCTGTGATCGGGTGTGAGAAGAGGACTGACTTACGGAGACATACGACCCTAATAGCCAGAAATCCATCCAGGGCACCTAACAGGCTGCTCAAATGACCACGCCCAGCTATTAGTTAGAAATTATCAGGACACCTTACACTGAATAAAATATAACAGGCTGCAGGAGCCTGAGCATCATCAAGACACACGATGGGGTACTGCCCTTCCACTTGCCGCCACTGAAGCACCTCTCTTCTCACCTCACCCGTCACACAGCACAGCAGTTAGGAGAGTACAAGCCAGAACCTTAAGCAGTATTTATAAAAGGTGGAACATTTGCCATTACATGTCCTAATTTGTAGCAAACGTATCACTTTTCCTTGAGATAATTATAAAAGAAGTGTGTATACACATTTCATCTCCTTAAAATCTCAGAGATTGTTCTTTTATGTGGCTCAGTGGTTGAGCGTCGACCTATACACCAAGAGGTCATTGGTTCGATTCCCGGTCAGGGCTTGGAGCTCAATCCCCAGTAGGGGGCGTGCAGTAAGCAGCCAATCAATGTTGAGATAGTTAAAATCAGGAGAGTAAAAATGTCTATCAGTGATGAATGGATATAGAGAAAAGAGGGTAGAAGATAAGAGGGCACCAACATGAGGAGATGAAAAGTCAAAGAGACACAGAGAGGTGCAGGGGCAGGGTAGTTTAATGCTGTCTAATGTGCAGCAAAGAGAAGGAAATGCTACGAAAGAAATTAATCCAAAGAGAGCAGAGGAAAGCAGTAAGAAAGTTACGGCCAAAAATTAGTGAAACAGCAACAAAGCACATACAGGTGTAAGCAAAAGTAAGTTTACAGTTGTAATACAAATAAATACAGTAATAAATAATAATACAAGAATAAACTATGTTTCATGTATGCACAACTGTAAACCTACTTTTGCCCACTCCTATAATACAAACACCAACTTGTTTCTTTCAAAAAAAATCACATAACTTACCAACTTCTGTTACGATGGAACAAGAAAGTAAGAGACCGAGCAAGTAATTTAAGGCTAACACAAAGGGCACTGTTGAAAAATGCCACAGATACTAATAGGAGGACATACTGTAAACAAATAAAATTCATGCCAGTAACATGAAAACTTAGAAACAGATAACTCTAGAAAATAGACACAAATAAAAAGCCTAAACAATTTTCCTGTTTGTTTACAAAATTCTAAGGAAAAATAGTTCCAATCTTACACAATTTTTCCAGAGATGGGTGAGGAGGGAACACGTCCTAATTCATTTTATGGGGCCAGTAAAACCATGATACCAAAATCTGACACAGACAAGTAAGAAAAAGAAAACCCCCCACATAAGTCAGATTTACTCATAAACATATATGAAAATAGCCTAAATAATAATAGCAAAAATAATCTAGCAAGATAAAATATTATAATTAAGATGGACTTATTCCAGGAATGCAAGGTTGGAGGTAAAAAAAAAAAATCAATTAATATGACTTACCACATTCATTAAAGGGAGAAAAATCATATTATCATCTCAAAGGAAAACCCTCAGATAAAATTCAATAGCCACTTATGATAACACTTCTAGGCATAGAATAGAAAGAAACTCCCATAACTGGATACGGAGTAACAAGCACTCCCTTTTAAGACAGAGAACAAGATAAGGGCATCAGCTACTGGAAGGCTTAGCCAGCAAAACAAGGCATAAAAACACGTCAGTTGGAAAAAAGAAACAAAACTTTCTTCTCAGATGATCTTATTATATATCTATATAAATATCCTAAGGAATCTAATGATCTGTTATTAGAATAAGAGTTTAACAGGTTAAAGCACACAAATCTATTAAACTATAGCAAGTACTATAAGAAAAAAAATTATAAGACTTTACTTAAAATAATAAAGAAGACATAAATAAATGCTCATTTATTAGAAAACTCAACATGGTAAAGATGTAAGTTCTTCCCAAACTTATCTATGGATTGAAAGCAATTTCATGTCAAACAAGTTATTTCATCTCAAAACAATTTCATCTCAACAAGTTATTTTCTTGTCTTTTTCTTCTCTTTCTCAGGGTGGGAGGTGTGTATCAGGACAGGAAGACATGGAGCAGTAACAGTTGGGACCATGTGGTATTCACGAAGGGTAAACAAATGGACCAGATAGGGTAGGACACAGAAACGTGATGAAGAGGCCTTGCAGACCAGTGAGGAAACAATGGAGTTTCCCGTAAATGGAAAACAAGGCAGCCTTTTGGGGGGAAAAAAATGAAATGAGATCAATTCATACCATACCAGGAAAGAAAATAGAAAATTTGAGGAAGATTAAAGGCCAAAAATGAAAACTTACAGTAATATCACATTTTGGTAATCTCTTCAGGATCTAGCTATATCTAAAAAAACCCGTGATACTTTAAAAAGGAAAATGATCCTTTTCTAATGCTAATGGCCTCAGACTCTTTTGCTAAATGCAGGAAATGGACTTGTTACTGTGGGTCTCACACCAAGTGTCAGAATCACTCACACCACCAAACAACTAAATCAGAGTAAAGAAGCTGGTTGTAGAGAACTGCGTTTAATGGAACCCTGGAAAATATCTGTAAATATTCTGTTTGAACAGAGGATCAAAAAAGACTTATTCTCAATGGAGACCTATATCCTGAATATATAAAAGCGCAAGGTGCTTCTAAGGCTACCTTTTCTCTCTATGACACTGAGTATTACCCACTAATTAAACTGGGAACTTGCAGTATGTGAGCTCCCGACCTCCATAAGAATCCTGAGCCTCCATACTACCTTTATTATTTTCAATCTATCCCAACAATGACTACTTTGACATATGGCTGTAGGATTATTCATCTGTTTCCTAAATCATTAACTTCTTAATAGGATGGGCCATCTTTACAATTCAAAAGAAATTTCTCCTTGTGAATGGATGCTTTTTACCTTTACAGGATAAACTTACTGTTACGCCAATAGACACAAAACTTGTGACTATTTACTATTAGAATAATGTACTATTTACAGCGAGACAATTCTGTTTGTTTATGTGCATTTTCTATTTTTATATAATTTGGGGCGTATAAACAACAAAAAGAGAACCAAGCATATCATGTAGAAAAAGATCCTGCTGTGAGAATTAAGTGCTATGCTCAACACGCATCTGCGGAGCACTGCCATGTGAACTGAGGTTGGGAGGCCGAGTGCCCCAAGGCCTTGCTCTCAGGTGTCCTCCGACCTGGACCTGGCAGGTCATGCATTAAGGAAATACTCACTGAACATCTATATGTGGCAGGCTCTGTTCTACATGCAAGAGACACGATAGTGAAAAATAGAGATAGAAACCACATCTTCAGAGCTTACATCCATCCCAGTGTGTGGAAATAGCCAACAAACAAAAAAACACTGAACATTAGTCAGAAAGAAATGTATGGACAATAAAGAGGCAGGGGAACAGGAGTCTGGTGCATGGGCAATGGCTGGTTTCAGTTTCATAGAGAGACACACAACATGGAAAATGCAATGACAGACCCACATGAGGTATGACCAAAACACAGAAAGGGGACTTCACGAGGAGAGACGGCAACGCCAGGGGAAACTTCCTGCAGGTAACCTTTCCATTGAACCTAACAAGGATGAGAGGGAATTAACTGGAGATTGGGGGGGATGGGCAAGGGGCAGGGGGCAGGGGGAGGGTCAAGCATCTGTACCGGAATCCAAACTATCTATCTGTCAGGTCCTTGGGTTACAAAGATAAATCAGTCATGTTCCCAAACCACACACAAGTGCTCAGTTAAGTATGAGCTACAGACAAGAAATAAGTCACTATAACGTGAAAGGCAAGTATATAAAAAAGTCATCTACGAAAAGGCAGAGGAGGGGGAACAGACAAGAACAAGGCATTGCTGCCACCCTCAAGCACACAAGGACAAATTCAGGTGCTCCAAGGGAGGAAGGCGGGCAGTGTTGAGAGCTACCTCAGGGCCACGAGGAGGGAGACAGGGTACAAAGGTGGCTGGGGTTGCAGGGAAAGCCTAGTGGTTCAGATGGACACGCTATTACTACCCACTGCTCATCTCACTACAAGACCTGATCACAACAGTACTGCTGGAGAGGAGGGAGGGTTCAGTCTGATTCTACTTCCCTTCCCTTCCCGTGGGAAAATGAGTCCCCAGTTGCTACTTTAAAAGTATATATCATTCAGTCCATTAGGATGGCTACAATGCAAAACAATGGAAATAACAAGCACTGACAGGGATGTGGAGAAACCGGAACCCTGTGCACTGTTGTGTAAACATAAAATGGTTCTGCTGCTTCGAAAAGGAATTTGGTGGCCCTTCAAAGTTATTATATGACACATCAATCCCACTGATAGGTGTA